TCTCAAATACATGCCAGTTGCAAAGCACTTGAATTTTGATCATGTGACCATAAGGATGCTGCAAAGTTCATAAGTATGAAAAATTGGTCATATATAATTTTTTTCAGTGCCATTGTAACTTTGAACAGTCACTAAATGAATGGTTGTAACTCAAGGATTACATGTCTGCTGTTCATTGGATTTTTTTTAAAAAAATCAGAAAATGGTTAATATATTTAACCAGTGTCATAATACATATTTTATGAACCTATATGACTGGTTAATCTACAACACAGACCACACTGTATAAATAAATACAATTCCATAATTATAATTAGGGATTAATAAAAATAGTTAAGGTTTTTTTAAAAGTTTTTTCATGACCACAGAAAATTATATTCTGAATGAAAAACTGAGAACTGAATGTTGATTAGTTAGCAACATAAGCAGCATGAATATGAAATCACATTTACTCCTTACTTTGCACCCTTTTCTCTATATATGCTAATATTCATGAGTCTGGTGACTAAATGTCCTTTTTTTTTTACACCTTCTCTGCAATCGTGTAACTTCAAATATCTGTATCTCTCCCTATGTTTTACCAGGTTCCCCAGCTGAATGTGCCAAACCATTCTTCACTGTTAACGATAATCTTGGCATACAATCTTGATCCAACACAATAGCCTACTGCTGTATTTCTGCATTTTAGACAAGGATACTTCCAGACAGAAAACCCTAGTATTACCAAATAAAAGGCACCTTATTGCCATTCGGTCTTTAAAAATAAATAGGGAAAAAATGGTTGAATGGCTATGTTCTTAGAATTGCTTAACTGGATTGTAAGGAAGATTAAAAGATAATTTAACAATGGGGTTGTGTGAGGTTAAACTAGGCTCCCCTTAATCAACCATGCTATATCAGTGGAAATAAAAGAATTAACTATTATCAGCACAGAAATGAAGTCGAAAATGGGTCCCAGGATCAATCAATCTAGAAATTTTCTCTTTCTGCTCTTTTTACTTTTCCCCCTTCCCTTGAGTATATGAGGCAGATGATACAAAATAGAGGATGAAAGCTTTTTTAAAAAATCAGTACTTCCGAAACTTTTTCCTCTATTACCCAAAAACACTTATTTAGAAAGTCTTTTTTACTGCTTATCAAGTCTTATTTAAATGTCCCTTTTATGATTGGGTAATGAGTACGTGTAGTGGTGGGATTCATGTAATTTAACAACTGGTTCTCTGCCCTAATGATTTCTTCCAACAACCAGTTTTCCAAATTGCTCAGAAAGTTAACAACTGGTTCTCCCGAAGTGGTGTGAACTGGCTGAATCCCATCACTGAGTATGTGTATCATTACAAAAAGAAAAAAGGACACTTTTACCCATTTTGGGTTAATTTTGGGAAATGCTTTCTGAAGTGGTGCCAGCAGATCATTGCCATTTTTCAAAACAAAATAGCAGGAAGAGATAGTGTGTCAAACACAGTCACTTCCTGTTTAACTGGTGCATCCCAAATAGTGGAACACTGGTACAGAGTATATTGTTCAAGCATAGCCAACGGGTTCTTTGAATCCCAGTTGAATTCCAACTTGGCTTTATTTTATAAAATCACAATGCTTATTATTTGTAATGTATTTTGAAAGAGGGAATACTGTTGGATTCTTTGAATGCTTTGGATCCTTTCCATCATTTATTATGAACATTCATATTTTTATTTAGACATTTTTTTTTCTTTTTCTCTCTCTTCCTCTCTTCCATAACTTCCTGGGATAATATTCCCCAAGTTTTTGTAAAGTATATCTCTGAAATGTAATTTCAGAAAGAGGTATTACTTAATCATTAGCCACAATAATTTTGAAAAGAACATTTTCTTTTAAAGGGATTCATTACACCCATAATAACATATTGGTTCTATGATTCCATGTTAAAAATATTGTATATGAGGCCTAAGCTTCTGTGGCAAAGACAAAAAATGTTCCAAATAGCTGAGTAGTTCAGTCACTTATCAAGGAAAAGAATTCTTCAAATCAAATATTAAAGAACAACATGTATGTTGAAAAATATGTCCATACAGTTTTAGAAGCTAAAACATATAAAGACTTATTTAATGACAATATTATAAGATCTACAAATGTAACTGCTTTTGGGTCAACTTCAAAATATGTCATTATATACATTTTGTCTACATTTATTATATTTGGCTTTATAGAGGGTGAAATAGAACAATATCTAGACACACACATACTGTAGATGCATGATCCAAAAGGATGAAATACTTTTTCAAACTAAAAACAACATTAAAAAAATAAAGGCAAATTACTCATGCTGTAATTTTTACTAATACTCTCAAGGCCAGCTTGAAAAATATAATTATGTTGATTAAAAGGGACATTTGTTTTATTACCGTAGATACAGCCATCTTATAATTCTAATAGGAGAAATGAAGTATTGAAAATATGCTACTAGTTTATTTAATTGCCATACAATATGGAATTTCCAATGTGGCAGTGCCCCAAAAATTCATTGTGAATTGTAATACAAGATGAAATCTCCATCTTTGCTAAGAGTAGAGTAGTGAAGCAAAGATGGAGATTTCATCTTGTATTACAATTCACAATGAATTTTTGGGGCACTGCCACATTGGAAATTCCATATTGTATGGCAATTAAATAAACTAGTAGCATATTTTCAATACTTCATTTCTCCTATTAGAATTATAAGATGGCTGTATCTACGGTAATAAAACAAATGTCCCTTTTTATGGTCTGAGCTTCAAGAAAGAAGTTACGGTGCTGAATTTCACATTCAAATTTATATTGTGTTCCATTAATGCCCAAACTGTTTAATATCCATATATCAGAACAGAACTATGCATTTCATCAGCAAACCTAAACAAATTTCCCACGTCCTTTCCTTGGAAAAACGTTGAAAGGAAAAATGAAATGAAAGTACATCAAACTGTTTTCACATAAACACTTTCCTGTCTGATCACTCTGTTCCACAGTGGTCTCCTTGTTTCCCTCTCATGTTCAGACAATACTTCCTGGCTTCTACCATTACCAAACAAAAGGTACTGTAGAACTTTTCATCATTCCCCTTTACAAATCTTTTCTGAGGAAAGAAAAAAATGAAAAAAGGAAGGGGCAGGGCCGGATTTTCCTATAGGCTAACTAGGCTTCAGCCTAGGGCCTCAAGATCAAAAGGGGCCTACATTCAAACTGTTAGCAAAATTAAAATTACACTTTCACTATAGGTGAAAGGGCCTCATAAGTGGAATAGCCTAGGGCCTCTTTTCATCTAAATCCGGCCCTGGGAAGGGGGAAATGCAGGAAGACTACAAAAAGAAGACAGTGATATCTACCCCCACACCCAGCCCAGCCCTGGTAAGCTCCTGATTATAGTCAGGGCAATAACAGCTTCATCTGAAAAAATACATAATTCCATGCACATTTTAATTATTGCATCCATATACTTGAAAACCTAAGAGATAAAAAGAAAGCAATCTCCCCAGAGTTACTTTTCTTAGGAAAGCAGCTATTACATATTAATATATTATGTATAATTTAACCACAGGACTCAAAATATTTGATATCACTATTACACTATTATATATACTGCTTTCTTCCCAATGGAAGATAATAATAAAACAATTTATTATTGGAAAACAATAACGGAAAATATTTAAAACATTCAATCATGACAAAATAATCCAACATGAAATAATAAGTTCCCAAGGCCAAATTAAATTCCAAAATCAGCGAACTGAGAAACTCATGATACTAAAATGAGAGGATCTCATCCATTTAATTTTTTTTCTAATTTTCAGGTTCTATGGAATTAATTCATGAATGAGCGTATGAGTATTATGGTGCTTATATGCACCATAATGGTAATACCATCTGGAAACTAACAAATATGGTTCTCAGTTCAGTTCAGTTTACTTTACTGATTAGCCCTTGGGCCATATCAAAGTGCAGAGTTCCAGACACAAATTATTACTAAAATCTGATAAAAACAATTTAAAATGGAATTGATTCTCATTATTGTCTATGTGGCAAACAATGTTACTGGCTGCCCAAAATGCTTCATAATTAAAAAGGTACAGCTGAGAAAGTAACCACAAAAGTTTTTTAGTTCATGCATTCTTGCAATATTGTTTTAAAAATCCAAAGTTAAATATGCTTCTGTGCATAGTCAGAACTAGAAGTAGTAGAAGTAAATTACAGGATGTAATTTTCCTGCTTGTTTGTTTGCTTCCATCTCAAATATACTCATGCAGCCTACTTTTCATCAAGCAAAAAAAAGGAGACATTTTGTCTTTAAAGGAAAAGGGGAATTTGAACATTAATGGACCAGAGAGAGAAGTATTAGGTATTATTAAATCTGAACAACATAATGTGGTGAATAATAATCTAGTTTGAATTTTAGGAAATAAATGGCCATAATATTTTTCTTAAAATTTATTCATTTGGCTGGAAATCATTACAAAATTAATAGATCAATAAATTTCAAATGACAAAAAATCAACTATCTACCCTAAGTAGATAATGCTAAGGTCACCAGTGTCTGATTCTCTAGTTTTATTAAGAATTTAACAGATTAAGTTCAAAAAGGTATTTCTGGGATCATTGTTTTTCTATATTTCTAAAGGGAGATGAAAAAAAGAATCTAAACAATCTCTTCCATCTTTCCTCATTTGGATCCAGTTTCTATAGCATAAAAATACAAGTTTTATTTTAAAAATATAAAGACAGAAGGCACTATATCATAGTCTTGTGAAATGTTATACAATAGTTGGGTGGTTGATTTTTAATGCATTGTTCCAATTTTGCAAGGTGGAGTGAGGAAATGGAATAAAATTGCTGAGAAGTGTCTTCTTCCTTTACTTTCCATTTATTTCATTTCATTTAAAGTGAAAAACCCAATGACAGGGATTGTCTTTTTGATATGCTTTTTAAAGAACCTTTTTTAATAGAATAATTGAATAAAATGCTTCAGTTAAATAAATAAAATATGATACCTGCGTGCGATTGAAAGCCACTCTTGCAAAGACCGCCTGGGAGACACTGGCCCTTTTCAGTTCATCCCTGACTTGCTGGTAGATATCTGGAGATACTTCCACTGATGAATTTGTTGGTTCTGGTTTGACTGTTCTAGGGATAGGTGGATGATTTAGAAACTGTTGATTAATTGCCTGTGGATGCTGATGAGCCAGGAGCCGACTTACTGCAATCTGTTGGTTTATCAAATGGGCCATTGCTATTTGCTGCCTTACAAGCTGTGGGCTGAGTTGAGGTGTAAGAAGACCAGGGCTCATGATTGGTTGTAATGTTGGCACTTGGTTTCTGATTGGAGTACTGTGGTGAATTTGACCATGAGGAGATTGTTCATTTGTTTTGCCCAAAGTTGCCAGCTGGTTGATATTCGGTAAGTGCATGGGACGTTGACCAAGAACACAATATTCTGACAGGTTGTCTCTTTCAACTCGTTCCACTGTTAAAATAAATAATAAATATATACCTTCATTTTAATTTGAAATTATATCAAGGATTACAAGTGAACAGATATAGAGTTGCATTAAACTGCACTTTAATGCCAACTCTATATTGGCACAATATTCTATACTAAATTAAACTAATAATGTTTATTCAAAACATCTTAGGGAGATATTTACTCAAGCGAGATTTGAGCAGCTTAACACAATGGTCAGATATGGGAGATTCCATTCTATACCCTACAATGAGAGTCTCTGCGTTTGCGGAGTAGCAGAGGTAGAAGACCTGGCTCACATCCTATTTGACTGTTGCTTGTATAAGGGGGTGAGAGACAGGAACCTTGGTCCATATACCAAACGAATGATCCATTGGGATCCCCATATCAAAACAACTTACTTTATGTGTGGCCAGAATCTGAAAATAACATTTAACATAGTACAGTACTTAAACAGAATGGTTCGGTTGTGATCTGCATACGTGGGACTGATTGGGGTAGATTATAAGGGTGACACTGAAGTATAATTTTATGTCATTTTATATATTTATGTATTAAATTATACTGCATCTTATCCTATAACTATTGTATTTTACCCTACTCTTATTTTAAATTGTTTGTATAAAATTTTATTAGCAATATGTGTTTGCACCTTGTGCTTTGATATGTCCTATAGGCTAATCAAAGTTATCATTTTAAACTGTATTTTATTCCAATTTCATTTTAAATTGTTTTTATCAAATTTTAGTAATAATTTGTGTCTGGAACTCTGCACTTTGATATGGCCCAAGGGCTAACCAATAAAATAACTCTAAAAGTAACTCTAATAATGTTTATCCTTTGTAAATCTGACATGTAGTAAGGGTTACATGAATTTCAAGAACCCAAGTCCATTACATTGGGTCAGCCTTCCAACCAAGCATCAAATAATTGTGCTAATATTTTATTGTTGCACTGGTAAACTCAAAGATTAAGTCCCCAAATATTTACATTCAATTAGGATTTATTTTATTTATTCATTCAGTCATTCAGTCATTCATTCAGAAATATGTACATTTATATCTTGCCCTTTCTCCACAAATTTCAAGTGAGATACGTAGCAATTCTATTTCCAATCTTGGGAGTCAGATTAGATTGAGAAAAGTGATTGGCTCAAAGTCTTCTACCAATGACAGTGGGTTTGAAGTTGGGTTTACTCAGTTCTACTCTAATATTTTAACTACTGACAAAAATCTCCAATACTTTCTGAATGTTATTGTGCAGAAACAATCAAAATATTATATTGTATAATTTACATGGCTATTTGCATATGACATGTATAATTTACATGGCCATTTAGTTCTTTCATCCCATAAACTCACATTGTGTGTTTATCTATGTATGTGTGCATAACTATATGCAGAAAAAAAATACATGACTGATACTGTCTTGCCTTCTTATTTGTTGTTGTTTATAATATCATCAATTCTCATACCATGTCTTTGTAAACACTTGAAACACTTGAAATCACTAGTATTCTTTCTCCCATGACGTATGTGCAGCCAAATCACTGCTCTGTAAACATTACACTCCTTCAGCAGACCACAGGGTCAAATTCATACCCCCAAATGAGTTATGGGATATACACCCTATTTTTTTTTAAGAACTTCACTGCACATTCGCTACTTCAGTGTACATTCAACTACTGTTTTTAACTGTAAGCCACTCAGAGCATTAAAGAGCCAGACTTGAAATCAAATAAAAAATAAACAAACAAATATTGTAAGGGATTCTCCTAAATAAGCCCTTGTTAGCATATACCATTCCTAAGTGGTTATGTAAATCTTCAATGAATTGTAGATACCCAGTTTTGAAATATTTATCGTATCAATAAAATACTACAGAATATTTTAAATATTTTGGCTTCTTTCAACAGCAAATTCAAGAAGCAAACATTTGCATCTATTTATAAATTTTAAGCCATTTAAACTTTTCATTTATAATTTTGCTTTCTTTTGTTTTATTTTCGCTTTGCATAGCCTGGTCAACTCAAAACAGGGTATAACAGGACAAAATCATGAACTATGGTTCTTCTTGCCTTCTCCCCCACCACCAATATATTCTTATTTTTAAAAAAATAATAAGTATCCTATTCAAGTCATAATGGAAACAACTGTACCTAAAAGTTTGAAAAACCCTAAATAGATGTGGAATTATTTTTGCCAAGCTTCTATACAGACTGAACTCCTGATATAGTCTATATCAGCAGTCACCAACCGGTGGTCCGTACATCACTGGTGGTCTGCGAGAAAATTTTGATGGTCCGCAGAAAAATTATTTGCATTTTTTATATTGTACTAAATCAGGAGTCCTCAAACTACGGTCCCTGGGCCGGATACGTGCAATGAATGTTTGTGTTGCTGCAGAGAGTCTCCCCCTTCTGGGTCTTTTTGTGCAGGTCACAGGGGGGCAGAAATTCCGACTTGGGGTCTGCTTCAGCCTCCTGGTGCGGGGCTTTGGGCGAAGGCTGGAGGAAAGTGCTGCTGGTGGCAAAGAGCTCCAGTGGGACAGCATCATTCTAGGCCAGCATCATGACCTGGAACTGGTGCCAGTACCTGGCCTTGTATTCCTGCAGGTCTTCCCTCTGCTTGGAAAGCCTATGTTCGTAGTCCTCCGTGAGGAGCTTCTGCTGAGCCTCCTTCTCAGTCACATCCAATTTTAACTGAGCCAGCTGTTTTGCCAGCTCTTTCTCATGATGACTGCTTAGCTCCAGGAACTGCTTCCTGTTGGGGCCCTGAGGAGCCTGGGCGGGTAGGCAAGGCGTAGTGAGTAGAGGCTGGCAAGGTGCCCCTCAACTTGAGTGACATTGAGTTGGCCATGCCCACCCAGTCACATGGCCACCTTGCCACGCCCAGCCAGCTGGTCATTAGGCAGATCATATTAGTGGTCCATGGGATTTAAAATTATGAATTTAGTGATCCCTGAGGTCCAAAAGGTTGGTGACCCCTGATCTATATAATCTTATAAGAATATTAATATTGTCGTTACTAAATAATGCAGAATAGCAGTACCAGGATAGGCATATATACATTATGTACTGTATATCTGTAGCTAGTTTTCATTACATTTGGGAAAAACAAAATTATAATACCATTACAAGCCTCTAGAAGGCAATAGATAAAGATACACAGTATAAGTTATTTTTTTATTATTAAATTTATATGCCATCCCTCTCACTGTCAAGCAAAAGTCTAACTACCAAACTTGACTTCCTAGAACTATTCTAGAGCATGGGAGGTGCTTTCCATGTGGCTAATTCATTTAAAAACTGTGATTATCTTAATTACTTATTTCTTTTCATCAAAACCCACTTAACCCAATTATGAACAAAGAGGTAATTTCAGAAATCTTATTTCCAGTCAACACTTAATTTCATGTTTACTCTAACCATCTATCAGTGTTATTTACTGTCTGGTCTCTGACCAGGAAAACTGTATTTGCACATCTCTGATTTGTGTGCCCAAAAGGGCAGTTCCACTATAGCCGTGATGGTGAACCTATGGCACGCGTGCCACAGGTGGCACGCGGAGCCATATTAGGGGGCACGCCAGGTCAGCTCTGGGGCACATGCGCGTGCCAGCCAGCTGATTTTCGGGCCTTCTGGGCCCATGAGAAGTAGGGAAACAGGCTGTTTCCTGCCTCTGGAGGGCCTGGGGGGGTGGGGAAGGCCTGTTTTTTTTTTCTTACCTGGTCCAGATCCTGTCTGTGTATCTGGGAATGGCGAAAACAGCCTTTCCCACTTCCTTGGAGGCCCTATGGAGGCTCAAAGGGCCCATTTCCCCACTCCCGGTGGGACAGGAAGTGACGTTTTTTCCTGTCCCCAGCCTCCAGAGACTCCTAGAGAGGCTCCTACAGACTCCTAGAGAGGCTCCTAGAGACTCCTAGAGAGGTTCTGGAGGCTGGGGACAGCAAAAAATGTCACTTCCTGTCCCACCGGGAGTTGGGAAATGGGCTTTTTCAGCCTCCGTAGGGCCTCCAAGGGAGTGGGAAAGGCTGTTTTCGCTGTTCCCAGATACACAGAGAGGATCTAGAACCAGGTAAGAAAGAAAAACGGGCCTACCAGGCCATCATGTGCCAGGAGCGGGGGGGAGGGGGAGGGGGTTGCGCACACATGCGCGTGGGCATGTGCGTGTGTGACCCTCCCCCGCTCCCCCCCTCTCCTGGCACGCGATGGCAAAAAGGTTAGCCATCACTGCACTATAGTATTTGGCAGTCATGAAATGCTTCCTAAAATGAATTCCTGCAAATTTGCTGAAAATCTATTTTCAAAATAGTACATATCAGTCAACTAATTTTCCAGTAAATCTTATTACCTAGAGCTCATATGAAGATTGCTATAGCTCCTATACAACTTCTGTTAACTTTTCATATTAATACATTAATCGTTTAGAAAGTAGTTGTTATTTTTAAGAACACAAGATCAAGTTCTGAATCAGATCAAAGGTTCACCTTATCCAGAATTCTATATCAAAAATGGACAAGCAGATATCTATAAAAAGCTTACAAACACAATAAGAACATAACAGCCACCTACTAATGGGAACTCAAGAATCAGTTTCCATGACAAATAAAGTTGCCTCATAAAACATTAATCACCAATAATTCAGGATTACAATTAGTTTTTAAGCCTATTAATATTGCCATGGAGAGCTAGTTTGGTGTAGTGGTTAAGTCACCAGGCTAGGATCCGGGAAACCATGAGTTCTAGTTCTACCTACCACTAAATTTGCATCCTCTGCAAACTTCCATAGAAGCAAGTCTTATTGCATTGTCTTTTGAAAGAAATATTGGCAGTGTTCTGTTCCGAGCGTAGCTGGCTCTTCATCACATGACATAAAGACTACATTTCCCAGAGATCAATCTCTTAAGGAGATATGTTCCCAAACTAAACTAAATATCCCTCTAGTCAGCACACTCCCTGCCTAGAATTATAAATTCCACTACTAACTAACTAATTTACTGTCTGGACAGCACAGGCAGAATTGATTTTTCCTTCTTTTTTCCATACCCCAAAGGGATGTATAGCATAAGTGGCATTTCACAACATTGAATATAGGCCACTGTATAGAACGTTATAAACAGATCACAATTAGAACTATTACCGTAGGACTATCAGAGCTTTGCTTCAAAAATCCAGACAACAACTAAATAGGACCAAGTGACAGGAAAAGCCCTTTGCTGCTATCTAGTGGTCATCTGGCTTTTTACAGCCAATACTATCTAAGTCCTTATTATATGCAATGGGTCTCATATTTAGTACATAAGCTTTCGAAGTTATAAAATACAGAAAGAGAAAAGTGATGTTTGAAATTTCAGGAGTTGCTTACAGACTTGGATTATATGTGGATGATTACAATGAAATATGCTTTATGTTAGTAAATAAAAAGATTTTATTTGATTTGAGATAGTGTCATCTTTCATTGAAAATCTTTTCTATAAAATTAATACAAAAGCCCTTATATTGTTATATTGTTTTTTCTTCTTTTCTCTTTCATTAGTTTTTTTTTTTTACTTTGTTCTTTTCTATAAAACAAAGGCAGAACAAAGGATCCATAAAGTGACACAAATATTTTAGGTACTATATATAATAAAACAATTATTGCTGTCTGTATAGCATCCAAAGTTACTTTCCGTGAGAGGGGCAGCCATATAATTTATTTAATAAATAATAAAAATAAATAAATTATAGAAGGCATCAACGTGATATGAACTGATAATATATAAACTTTTCACCATCCACACCTAGCTATTTCAGTGCTTGTCAAGTTAATTAAAATATTATTGTGAATATATATCAGTGAGATACTAAATTTGATCAGCTACATATTAAAGTAAAGCGATATTTTTCCTGAATTTTGTGTAACCATACATAGTAGCAAAAAAATTATGACCCACCTCATACAAGCAATTTAAAGAGCACATATTGATGGGTCTGTATTAATTTCACCCCTCAAAGTGCAGTTTCAATTGGTTTATGGTTGTCAGGCACAAACAATATGCAGAGTTCAAGGTAACTATTTTATTATGCTCTGCCTATAACACAGGAATCACCCCAGTCTCACAGCCTATTTTTAGGAACAATTAGATAAAGCTCCAAGGAAACTGGGAGGGAGGAGGTTGATCCTAGCCCTTTTACAGTTGCGCGGTGACTCCAGGATAATTCCTCACTTGATCCCTCCTTCCTGCCAGGCTGGGTGCTTCCCAATAATGGTAACATTGATCTATGTTATGAATGAAAGCCTAGATAAGTAAAATTGCATATTTATTTTTTTCTATATACACTCCTCTGCCTTGTATGCAGTACAAATTTCACTGCTATTATTCTTACTATGCTAATTATTCATCATTATTGTAATCATAATTATTATTACAAAGTTCTATTAATTGCTAAGATAAAACTTCCTTATAAATGTACAATATAAAATTTCAAACACAAATTATGAAAGGGCAAAGGAAAATAAAACGATAGGAGGATTACAAGGAAGCACGCAATCCCAAAAATGATACAGTCTATATTATTTTTTCTAGTATCAGTTTTAATGGACTGCAATCAATTTTCAGAAGCTTGTATGTCAATAGATGTAGATCTCACCAATACAAAATGCAGGCCCAATTGATATAAAGACAAAGGTTGATATGAACTAAGCATAATAGCAATGTTGAATATGTAATGGATTCCACAACTATAATTTGAGCATGTTTATTTCAAGTGCTCTTTGCATATAACTTTTACATCTGTTGCTAATGATATCAAATTATTGATTGTTCAGTTTCTCATATTTGTTTAAACATTAAATATATGTTCTGGAACCTAACGCTTTTTTTTCTTTCAGAAAGTTTTTTAAATTTTTGCTATGCATTAGTCATATTTACTTTGATCTTTCTCTATGTATAATTATTTTACTGTTTGTTTAGTTCAACAGAACAGGAGGGGAAAGAATTGACCAAAGAGATCTGTATGTGGCAACTTGTAACAGAATCTCATAGCTTATGTTTAGGAAATCATGGTTTTGATTAAGAAGGAACCAGTTAGTTCCCACTGCTTTATTAAAAGAGACATTAGTGGATAAATCAGAAACACATTTCACAGAGCAGATTATGTTCAACTGAAATGCCAATAAAATGATTTTGAAGCTCTTCGTCATTTTCCATTTGTAATATTAAATTAGAATAACTTTTTTATAATTAGTTTAATGTAACAAAAATTAAGATATATGTGTACAACAGTGGTTGCTTCAACTGGATTGACCTTGAATGATGGCTGATCTTGCTGACCAGATTCATAGTAACTTGACCCTTACTTTTAAATTCACAGGACTACACTAAAATAGTTTCTGAAATTGAACCTTTCATCTTACATATAAAGTAAATTCTCATTTATAAATTCTGTAAATGAGACAATATGAAAAGAAAATATAACAAAACCTCTTGGAGATGATGATGATAAAGTTTGGTTCTGTTTATTTTTCAGTACTTATACCTACAGTAATTTTTTCATTGCTGTTTTGCTCCTATTTGTTGTAGCCGAAGAATCGATACTATATGAACCATATTAAAGCAGTTTGTGTTTATTTCACACAGACTGTGACCTTTCATTGCCCCTCATGCATACATATATATGCACACACATTTCCAATGAGTTTTAAATTCAAAATCTCATTAGCAACATCACACAGTTATCCAGAAAACTCTTTGGGCTTAGATCCTTGACCTCCTAATTCAAATCAAGGTCTTATTCTGCTTTTCTATATTTAACAATTAACTGTAGACTTATTTTTAAAAATGGTGAGGGATGGGAGAAAAAGAAAAGCTTTAAAAATTGAATGAAAAAAGGAAGTAGAAAACCATAATATGATAGAAATACTTGGTGGTTGCAATGGAAATTCTGGGACTACAGGAAGAGCTTTTTAATGTTCAAAGGTGCTTTTACATCTCAGCCGAATGTAGTAAGAATGCTCTCCCTTTTTGTCTTATAACAAGTAACAATGATCCATAAACGGCCTTGAAACTATTTAGCTCCTTTGATTATATTTTCACTGTAAAAAGCACTTTTGAAATATTCCTTTCTTTACCTTGAGATACAATACTTATAAAAATTGTTGAAGATCATAGAGAAACTGCTTCAACCAAAGTAGATCTTTGTATCTGGAAAAATATTGATGACACTCTATATAAACTAGCCTTTGTAAGCACCTCTTGATCATTTTAGAATAACAAATTTCAAGTATTCATGATCTGTTAAAAGGTTTGGCATTGAATGATAATTAAAATCAATTTACCTTTAATTTTCTTGTACTTTTTATACCATCTTCCAAATTCCTGGCACTTAGTAGCTGACACATTTGCATAATACGTGCTATTTACAATGGATGATATCATACTCTGAAATAAGAAAAAAGACAAATAAATAAATTCTAAATAGAAAATAATCAAAATTCTTCCAAAAGAAAGTAATATAGTTGAAAATGTATCATTCATTCATTCTTAACTGACAAAAACAAACATCAAAAATGTATTCATATACAAAAACTATTGTATAGATCCTAAGACTAGCTTCATTTATATAACTGGAGAAATTTGCTTTCCCTATTAATTTTGTGGCAAATCCATATGACTCCAGTGTATCCCAGTTGTCACTTTAATTTATATTGGGTATTATCGAAAGAATCTTTATGCTTCAAGTATGTTAGAAGCTGTGTCACATTGGGGAATACAAAGGATGAGAAGAACTGTGATTTAGGAACCGGATCCTAAAGGTAAGATTAGATACTTTAGCATATATAATCCAAATAATGGTTTTCAGATGTTTCTATTCTGCTTCCAACTGCAACAGGGACCACACATCCAGGAATCTGGGAATATTTGTGCTACTTGCTACAGAATAACAGCTAAGCAAATACATTAAATAATATTTATAGAAACATATCTTTAATCTTTTTGTGAAAATTCATATAGGAAACAAATTGCTATACTATTCTGAACAGAAGAAACTAAGAATACTACATGTCAAATTAAACAGGTCTATCTGAAAATTTATATTTAAAGGTTGTACTTTTATTTTTAACCCCTGAAAATAGACATTAGTGGCCAAATCTTTTTATCATCTAGCACAGACTTTGAATTAAATTGCACAGGATATACTATGATAAATATAGCTCTTCTTTTCGCTGCTGCGCTTCTCTGATTCAGTGTATTTTTTTATTAATTATACTATTCCTTATTCTTTATGGAGTCTAGTTTCAGAAGATAATGTATACATTTTGGAGTAGGAAAAAGCATGCGCAAAAAGGTTAACAAAACAAGTAGTTTAAAAGATTTAGTATCATATAAATATGCTATGAAAGTTCTGCAAATGCAGAACTGCAAAAAGCATCTGAGGAATGGGAAATCCCCAACTGTTCTTGCTTCTTTGCTTGTAGTCATTTTTATTCATTTTTAATTAAATTTCACAAATCAAGAGAAATAACAGTTTGGGGGTTATTTTGATTTGATTATTTATGTGGTATACTCTATATTGTTTCCTAACCTGCATCTCAAACAAGCTTAAGTAATACAAGAGCATGAAAAGAAATGCCTGACTTCTGTTCTCATGTACCATGGTCCTGATTCAAGTATTCATTTGTGTGTGTGTGTGTGTGTGTGTGTGTGTGTGTGTATACAGAGAGAGAGAGAGAGAGAGAAAGAGAGAGAGAGAGAGAGAGAGAGATTTATTTCCACCACTACTCACTTATTTACCTTTAGAACAAGTTGCAATGGCACCTTTTAAAAGTTTTTTTTTAAAAAGGGTTTTATCCAGATTTAAGTAGGAGATGATCAGGCTGAGCCAGAGGGAGAGGTCAAACACATCATCAGTCTCAAGTCCCTTTGTGCCCACAAGAGATCTGAGTCCAGCTCACCATTGACTCTTATCTACTGCCAATTTGCTTTAACCATTAGTGGTTCAGATTCTTGTAGAAAGCTTAAGCTTGCAATAAACCTTTATATACATTTGAACTGCCTGGATTTCTTGATTTCCTTGATGCTCAGCACAACTGTGAACACTCTCCCTTCAAAGCTCAAGAAAAAAAATCTTTACTCCATCCATCACATTACCATCTTCCAAGGAGAATTTCTACAGCCATAGAGTGTGATCACAACAATTTAGTTTATCGTTTCTTTAGCTCCCTGCCCTGAAATCTTGATGGTATTCAAGATTCCAAAAATACGGTAACATAATTGTTGCACATTTAGCCAGGGAATCAAACCTATCTAGAGTTAAAAATGAGAAAGACTGAGTCTTTATGCATAGCAGAGGATATAAATGGGAAAATATTCAGTTTATAACTAATGTTTATAACTGGTGGTATAATGTCCTATATCATTTCTAAACTATGTCAAATTTAAGATTTCCCAGTAATAACATGAGGTAGGTTTTTCTAAAACTGACATGTTCACAAACTCATCCAAGCTCGTATAATAAATATGGACACGGGGGTGTGGGGTGGAATTGTGCCTGCTGACCCCATTACTTATGGTACACACATTAACAGGATTTGGAGAAAAAGAGAATGGAAGAGAAGAAAAGTGTGCAAAGCTGGAGAAAGAAAGCATAATTACATTCCTTGAAAGGAGAGTATGCATTTGATAGAGCAATCAAAAGGTACCCCTTCTAAACTGTTATTAGAACTTGTCTAAAAAATATACTATTCTATATACCATTTTTTTTCAGGCACTCATTTTGTACTTTAGCCCTCTTCCCATAAATAAGACAATATGGATCAACTGAGGATGTTTAAGGTTTCAAGGATTGCTATGTCTCTCTTAAGCTTCTGCAAAGCTTAATGGACCCATTTCACCCCTTCAGGTCCTCGAAACCACAAATTAACACAAAAAAACCCCCTTATATTCAAAATTGCAGCAGGGGAGAGTGCTGACTCTTGCCCACAAGTTGCCAACTCCTAACTTGACCCAGAGCACGGAACTTAAGTCTTATCCAGGAATTGCTGAACTACAATTCCCAGCAGTCCTAGAAGCATGGTCAGTGATGAAAATTAATGATAGTTGTAGTTCAATAGTATCTAGACAAATACATATTCTCCACTCCTGACTTAAATTATGGTTTAGAACGGTGGTGAGTTGCTACCGGTTTGCCTCAGTTCGGGCAAACCGGTAGCAGTGGCAGTGGGAGATTCCACCCACCCACCCGGACGCTTCTGCGCATGTGCAGAAGCATCACACAGGCGCGTGAGTGTGCACATGCCCACAAGCGAACCAGTAGCGATGGGTTTTGAAACCCACCCCTGGTTTAGAATATGGGAGAAGCTCTAGCAAAACATAGTAATGTATGAAAACTTGACTAGTTTTTAAAAAAAAACTTTCAACTGACAAGCATTTTATCAGTTTCAGTTTCATAAATATCACTCCTGAAAGTTTAAACAAGAATCCTTCTAATTTGCACCTTAGACTGAAAATCTGCCTAACTGGAGTAAAGTGGAAAAGGGGCCTTCCTGTGACCAAAACAATTATTTTCATTATTTATTGGTAAGCTATAATGACTATAATGTTTGACTATAAGGTTAGCATTGTCACTATAACCTATCATTATCTCTCTGATTTCTACACTCAGTTGTTTCCAATCTATTCTCCACTGTCAAGACTTAATCATTTCAGAGTGAACTTGAAATACAACATAATAACAGTGACATAAATATTTGTTAGCCTATCTTCCTCTTTTCCCAGATATAGCAGGTGATAAATAATTTTAATAGTAAAATGAGTATAATAGAGTAACCAATCTTTTTGTTTCCATTTCCTTGATCTATGACCCAGTAACTACAATCTGATTGACTTCCAAAGTAGGCAAAAAAGTTTGGTTAATGAAGCTTATAAGGTTTATAAGGCTTATAATGTTTTCTGATATTATTTTATATTATTTAATTAAACAGTAAAATTTGACTCATCTGCTTTCTATTTTATATGAGTCATTACATTCAATTTAGCCATAGCAAACTGGAAAAAAAATTTCTAACCTTCATGTCTTAATGTTGTTGTAATAATGCTATTTAATCATTATAATGTGCATTGAAACCTTGATCTTCATGCCCTGTTACTTTACCTATGAATACCTTCTTAAAAACTTTTGTAAAATGTTCAATGCATATAAACAGGTGAGAGTATATGTTTACAATCTCTCAAATGTATATATATTTCTAGAAAGATACACAGTATATCAAAAACTGATCCAGATATATTCTGATTATAAACCTATAGTAGTTGAAATTAAAACTTATATGAAGGCGGGAAGTGAAATAAATGTTATGGATTATAAAACATATCTAAATAATTTTCAAGCCAAGCAAATAAAATTACAAATTTTCTCCAAAATGTACAAAAACTATTAAAAAGTCACTTGACATAAGAAAGAAATATATCTAAAAGATCATTGTCATTAATTTATAAAGTGCTTAGCTTAAAGATATATTTCATAATATCATTCTTCTGAAAAACCATTTTCAGCTATTTTTCCTTTATCAACAACATCTAAAAGGAGAATAAACCAAGGTAAATCAGTGGGATTTTAAATTAAACCATGTGCTTACATGGTTCTTTTTTAATGGCACCCTGAATCAGTACCTGTAAAGAAAATGAAATTATGCATTAAAAAAAAAGATAGAGAAAAAAATCCCTGTGATACTGCCTTTTATTCCTTTACAGAGGAATATTTGATGCACTGCAAGCACACTAATAAACAGCAGCATTTAATCTGCAGTTTCTTTCCTAGGAGACAATTTTGTAATTTGCTGCTGTCAATAATATATTAATCACAAGGGGGCTGTAATGATATTTCACATTTGGCACAATATTTTCTTAAAACTGATTTGGGAAAAGGGATTTTGTTAAAAAAATAGTCAAGTAATGATAACAGGCAGCTTATCTAAAACATTCAAATTTTTGCATGATGTGAACTATAAGAAAGAAATTGGAGGTAAGTGGATATATAATTACTAAACTAAACCAAACTAAAACAGAATAATCAGTACTACTATTAAACAGCTATTATTCCACCTATGATCTATCAATCTATCGATCTACTTGTCTGTCTGTCTGTCTATTTATCTGTTTTTCTTTCTCAATACTTGTCATTAGTCCCTTTGAAAAATATTTAAGAACTAATATAACAATGCTAGAGTCCTGAATGTTTAGAATATTACTGACTGCATCATTTGCTGAAAATATTATGTCCTGTCTTGTTTCTCTTCTTCCTCTTCTTCCTCCCTGCCCAAAAAGGTATATCATAGTCTCACCTTTATTGACACATTGTGCCTTGTGTATGACAAATTGAGAGAAGACATGTGCCATTTTTATTGGGAACATGTTGATCCTACTGCTTTGGTACACAGTTTTATAAAGTTTTATTTAAAACAGGGATGGACATTTTCAGAGACTATCAGATACAGGTAGTCTTCGCTTAACAATGGTAATTTGGACTGGAAACTCTGTTGCTAAGCAACATGGTTGTAAAGTATGTTGTCATGGGACCATGCTGACTTCTGACAGCAGTTGCAACAATTCAAACTGTGCCTTCATTAAACAAATCCCACACAATAGTTAGACATGACATCACACAATCACCACTGACCTACTGCCAGCTTCCCCACTGATTTTGCTTGTCAAAAATTGGCAATGAAGGTAGCAAATGGCAATCACATGACCATGGGACATTGCAACTATCATAATTATGAACTATGATCATGTGTCTGTGGGTACACTGTAACAGCCAAAATGATAAGAATTAGTCATTGGTTTCCTTGTTCAGCACCATCATAACTTTGAATTATCACTAAATGAGTGATAGTTATAATTACTGGACTACCTGTAACTATAATTTCCTCATTCTAGCTTGAGATAGTAGAGGTCCTTCAACATAATTGTGCATAATCACAGTTGAAAAAAAATGTACTAAGTTTAAAAAAAAAGTATGTGACTATCATATATTCAGTAAAAAGTCAGGTTTGTATTAAAATGCCATATTTATTTAAGAATACAGATATGCCTAATATCTGAAAATCTTTAGGCTATCACGGTAAATCAAAATATTGTAAAACCAATCTCAGAGTTCAGGATAATCAAATTATCAAATGATTTTGCATTATATCTATTCATGTACCTCAAAATTTATGATAGAGCATACCAGAACAAAACAAATTATTCTAAAAGTTATTATTTTAGAAATAAAATAATAAATTATAATCCCTTAAGAATACTAAAATAGGTTCCATACATGGCAGAATGGCATCTTTTAATATTATGTAACAAAATCCCAACCATGCTATTTAGGATATGTTTATCAGAGGCATCCTTTAGAAGTATGGCACACTGGTGTGCTTTGCATAAAGAAACAAAATCCCAATGGGTATGTCTACATGCCAATTTTGCCTCCTGGACTGCTATCTTCATCCTACCGTGCAGTTCTTTGTTAGATCTTCATCTACTTTTCAGTTTGCCAGCACTACCTCTGGGGAAGTATTAAATACAGAAGCTAAGTAGTAACTGATCCTTTCCCATATTCTACTTTTGCTACAATGGTGGAATGGCAGCTAGATGTCACAGCATTTTATTTCAGCAGGGCAGGAAAATCCCAGAACTAAGATGAGAAGAGCCTTCTCACTAATGAGGAACTGTTCTGTAAAGAACTGATAATAAAAAGTAACTATTATCTATCTGACAAAGATCTTAAAAAAAACAGAGAACTGTATGTTTTATAACAAGTGAATGATTACACATATAGTTATAACTGATAATTATATAACTACAGTTATTAACTGATGAGTAACATTCATTCTTTCCAAGACATTTTTAAAAGTATCTTTGACTGTATTAAAAATTGACATTAAAAAAATCTAATGATTCAGAAAGTTTTGATTGAAAAATATATAGCAAAAAATGTTGATGCAATCAAATATGAATTTTTATTGATAAAGCAAATAACTGGCTTGGTTCATATGTTTCAATAAAGCAATATATTTTTCAAATAGTTTGTTGCTGGAGCAGTGTTGTTTGATAACCTTAATGAAGATAGCAAGAAAGTACAAATTTAATGTGAGAATTAAAAAGCAGTCTCCAGATAGATATGAAGTTCCACACCATTTAAAATTCCAATTTTAACTTTTAATCTTTCAATTTATTTCACTATGCTAAATATAAACTTTTCTTTTTGGCAAGTGAACTATTTTAATTCAATTTTAGCACAGAATAAAAATAATAAAATTAAGCTCCCAATAAATTTATATTGTTCAAACTTCCCATTACAACTTTAAGAAACTGTATTTTGCTTTTTGTATAATTTAAAAATTAACAACAAAAAGTTAATTTTGAAAATGGATATCCAAAGTGCAACTGCCCAAAAAACCCGCACAATTTGAATTAATTCAGAGAGAAGAACTGGAGATAAAACTATAAATCATATCTTTGTATAATTTTTTTAATGATCACATCTAGAATATCATGTCATGTTTTGATCAATCATAGCCACTGTAATCATTATACAAGGATATTGCACATTTAGTCAAACTAAAGAAAAGAACAACTGAAATTATTGATAGGTTGCAGCACTCCTGTGAGGGAGATAATATTTTATCAGTATTTTTTGACTTAAGCAACTTCTATATGTGGGAATCAATTCCCAGATTTTTCAGTAATAGCCAAACTAATGCAGAAATTCTTGGAGTTGAGGTCCACAGATCTAGAAACCAACCAAATTGAAACTATGGTTTAGAGCAGAGGTCTTCAAACTTGGCAGCTTTAAGACTTGTGGACTTCAACGCATAGCTGGCTGGAGAATTCTGGGAGTTTAAGTCCACAAGTCTTAAAGCTGCCAAGTTTGAAGACCTCTGGTTTAGAGCAAAGGCAAGTAAGAGGAGAAACTACATAAAGGTACATAAAACTATGCAAAGTATGGAAAATGCAAACAAGAGAAGTTTCTTTTTTTTCCAATGAAATAAAACCAAGGGATGAAGAATAAAATGTTCTTTTATTCAACATGCACTTAAATTGCAGGATTTTGCTATTTTCTGGGGTTGTGATATATACCAATTTATACAACTTTAGGGAGAGACTAGATAAATTAATGAAAGACCTATTATCAATGGCTGCCAGTCTTGATAACTGTATATTAGTTCCTGATTATCAGTTGTTAGAGTGTTTACAGTGTAAAATGGCTATTGCTCCGCTGTCTATACTTATAGGCTACCCAAATATCCCCAGTTGAATACTGTGTTATATAGAATGCTGGAGTCAGAGAAGTTTTGGAGAGATTCTACTGTGTTTTTATATTATTATCTATTGCTACTGCCAACAATATAGGGATGGATAGCCTAAATCTGTCCTCATATGTCCTCAGAAACACAATGTGTATTTTTGTTTGTTTGTAATGTTTTAATGGTCCATAGACAAATTGATTAAATAAATATGCACTTGAACTGAATATGTTAAATAGAAAGGGAATGTGTCTCTAGCATATAATGTGTTGTTGATCCAATGAGAGGAAAAAGCCCTTGAAAACAGAAAAAAAATAAGTATACACTTTATTCTGAAATATTCCCAATGCCCATTGTTTGAAAAGAACCAGCCTAAGCAATCCTAAATTGTTTAACAATAGGATTGTGCAAAGCATTTGAAAGAAATATTTGAAAACATATGTTAGTGTGAATGAAGCATTTCTCTCAGAATTCTTACAGAAGTTGTGTCTTTTGCACAAATCACACAACTCCTAGAAAAGAGTTTCTCATCATCTCATATGCTTGTGTATGCATGGTCATTTCACTTTATAGTGGGTTCTTTGCAGGGATGAAATGCTCCCGGTTTGGACTAGATCGCCTGATCTGGTAGTGATGGTGGCGGGTGGTTCGGAGAACCAGTAGCAAAAATCCCTGCCCCCCACCCCCCCATGCCCAGTTGAGCTGTGCAATCTTCAGCTGAAAAAATGCTTTTAAAAGTTAAAAAAAAAAAAGCCTCTGATGATCGTGTGGCTCAGCTGGGATCATCAGAGGCTTTTAAAAGCATTTTTTTCTACAACCTCTTCGGCTGAAGATGTTATAGAAAAAATGCTTTTAAAAGTTTAAAAAAAAAGTTGGCCACGCCCACCCAATCATATTACCACCACCACCACCAAGCCCACAGAACCGGTAGTAACAAATTTTACATTTCACCATTGGTTCTTTGGAAATGTTGTTTGTGCTTACACAGATAATTGAGAACAGCTTTTGAAGCATAAGCCTTGCAAATTTAAAGAACGGTGTTTCATTCATACTAATATGCATTGTGAAGCATCTCCTTCAAATGCTTTGCATGGTCCTACTCAAGAACATCTCCACTGTATTTTTCATCTTTGAGTTTCACCATTCTAAAGAAAACATCAAAAAATATAAGAACATTTCTCAAACATTATGCACAATATTCAATAAGACAGACATTTAAAAAGGTATCTCAAAATACCTTATTTGCTAATCCTTATAATGCTGATAAATGAACTTTTTAATTATTATTTTAACATTGAAATAAAAGTGATTGGTGTATCAGCTTACTAAATAATCAAGACATATAAGCAAAAATGTACCTGGAATTGAATTTTGATTTATAAATGTGTAACAGAACTAACTTGCACTTTTTATTCATTTTGGGATGCTTGGAACATTCAAGTTTTTGTAGCTTGGAATATACTAAATATTGATAGCTTTATCTAATAGAGGGGTGTGCATCTAGACTGAATATATAGTGTAAACAAAGAGAAATAAAGGTAAAATGCAGAACAGGCATCACAAACACGATGGTATCCCTCTCAAATTTTCAGCTTCTTCTATAATACTTGTTAATGATCTTGCACTCACAGGAAAACTATAATTGCAGGGATTTTTTTCTATATTTATTCTTTCATACTATATTGCATTTTATAGGCTGTAGTTCCTCTGCTACCGATAGAGGCACTGACCTGGGAGAGAGGGCATTCTTTGGCTAACGTGCTCTGATTCATCTCTTTGAGCAATTCCTTTAAGGCATTGCGGACTGTGGCATGATTCCACTGTTCTGCTGGCAAATCTTCTAGCTTTGAACAACTGCAAAAACAGAGAACACGAGAATAGACAGATGGGGAAAGTGCTGCATGCAAACATAGCTGTTCTTTACATGCAAAAGCTATGTCACTCTTTAAAACCAAACACAACGAAGAACAGGACATTCATATTTTATATGTCATTCTTTTGTACCGTTTAGAAATTTCTTCCAGTTACAATCTAGAATCTAGGAAGATTTGAACATAAATAACTAAATACAGAACTGAACAAATATTTATGTTGCCTATCATGGGCTGAATAAGTTCTCAACAATTGTACCTTAGCAGATTGCAACATAAGGACAAAAGCCTTTGAGCCCAACATTTAATCCTGAATTTCTGGTTAAAATCTCAAAACCTTTAAAAACTATTTATTTCTCAGGTATAATGTGAAAACGTTTAGTCAGGCTTTATAGAATTATTGTACCTGTGGAAAATTCTCTTTTAAAGACAGACTACCTTAGCCTGTGTTCTAATGTCTAGTTAAAATATCACCCAGCAAGAGCTGCCAGTTGCAATTCCCTTCTTATAGTGTGCTTCCCACTTCAAAATGAGCTCAGAAATGAATGAAAATAGCATGTGTTAATCTCAGTAGTAATGGTGTGATTGACAGAACAACTCAGGATTAAAAAAGGGCAGATGTTCAGTAGTGCCCACCTTTGTAATTGAATTTTCAGTGTCACAACATGATAGACGTCTTGTAACATGTCAGCTACAGTTGCATCAGGTGCATCTGTCATATAAGTTAAAGGAAGAGGATTCCATTTCCCAAGTTTGATTATTCCTGCAAACAAACAAAACATGAAATAATCATAAACACATATTTCTATCTATTTATTTATATCCAAACCTATACCTAGGAAGTTTACCAATTATTTTATATTTATTACAATAGCAGAATGAACATTTATTGTAAGTATGGAGATTCTAAAGTTTGGCAGTTTGTAAATCTAATTTTATAACCGTGAAAAGTCCTATAAATATATAATTTTGGTTTTGAATTAAAAAGAACCTAAAAAGTACTGGCTCTTCATGTTTAATATAATATACTACATTGATTGACAGTGGCTCTCTGAGTTATTTGAGAACAACAACAGAATCTAGTTTAATGCATATTGTTATATACTAGGCCTGTACTAGACCTATGAAATGCTTCAGATTCAAACTCCAAAAAAGCATGCCACTGTTCTGGGATACAAAAGTAGTACCTGTCTGCAAGACAGGTGTGATATTTGTGCTTCCATTCATTCTGGGGCATCTTTATGGAAACAAATCAAAAGTGTTGCATAGCCCTACATAACATAATCCTTTAGAACAGGTTACTAAACATTTGCTGGACCAGAACTGTTATGGAAAGGCTGCTAAAAAGAAGTATTTATTGCTTGACACAGAATGCCTAAAACATATCACAAAGAGAACAGAAATGTTAAAAACATGCCATTGTTTCGGTATTAAGAATTCGCAATCTGGTGCTAAACATGCTGCAGTATAAATAGAGCCTATACTCTTATCATGCATTATAACGTACAAAGCTCATTCGCTGTACCATATGTCTTCAGAGCTGGTTCTTTATGTTGTATTCCCCTTGCCAACAAAAAAGTTGCTTCTCTTAAAGGGGATAATTTCTAGAGGTTATGTAACTACAGATCATGAAAGCATCTCAACCTACTTTTGATACTTACTTGGGAGTAAAAATAACTGGAGATGTAATATGTACTATATTTACTATATATTTATTATAATTGATTGAATATGAAAATGGATAGCAAGGATACTGAACCTTCTCTCGAGTCAAACCTAAGTTATGCTCAAACAATACTCTAGAGTATAATATAGTTGTCTAGTTTGGTGTGGTGTGTAAAATCAGTATGATTAGTTTATGGTTTGGTCATTAGATCTACCCATAAAAGTAAGTGGGAATAAATAGTTCAGATGAAATTTTAGAAAATTGCCTCAACCTTTCAAAATGCTAGAATTTTTGCTAGAATGTTTCATCAGACAAGGTAACTGTTCAGGAGTCAAAAATATGGTTGATAATGGAGACATGTCAACCAAGTTACACTGAGAATGTCTGAAAAATCTTGAGACAAATAAATAGGATCTTATAAAGCACAGTTTTTCAATTTTTTTCAAGTGATGTGTTAAAAGAATTCCTGGGATCTCTGTTCGACAGGCAAAACTCTAGCGTTAGAAAATTGGCTGCATAAAGGTTAACTTTCCCCCCCCCCCCCCCCTTTTTTTTTTGTCCTTGGCCTCCCCCTCAAATTTTGAAACACAGTTTGAAAAATCGTATTATAAGAAACAGACAGTATTAGACTGCAATTATTCTACTACCATGATTGTCTCTACTTTCTTAAAAATGAAGAAATTGTCCTGGCAAACAGTCCAGAAACACAGGTGTTACCATAACGCTCAATGCTTTTGCACATAAACACCTGCTGCAAGTCCTTTTTGTTACAGTGCTGCAGACATGCACTTTTTTTTAAGCGTTATTAGTTATGGATGAACACTTCTTAGCTCTCTTTGATATTCAGTTTTGTCTAGTTCCAATATCCTGCTATTTTTGAAAATAATTATACCTGGAGAAGACACCATATTCTATCTTAGGAAAATTCATGCAGAGCATGTTCAAGGTAAAAACTGACGTGTGAAATATCAAGTCATTACTCTTCTTGTTTGCCTACTGTCCCCAAACTTAACATTTGACCTTCCCGGATATTGCTTGCAAAATTATACTGTAGGTATGCTTCATGTAATACTTTGAAAATATGATCAGGAATTCTTGCTTAAAGTAGAAAGAGGAAAATAAAATATTGATTCTTCTTAGGCACAGCCAGATACCCACATTGAAGTGCAAACCACTAATTCTTGACCTGCCAGAAAAATAAGATGACACAGAATTTGATTCTCCAACAATCTCTCAATAAAGCGGTTGTCAGGTGGTGTTGTCCTTATAATGCTGGAGAAGTTAAGGAATGTAATTTGTGCATTCTTTTTTTATAATAGAAAAAAAGAAGAGCTGATACAAAGACAATGTCAAATAAAGGAAACCCGAATCTGGGACAAAACTGTAACCAGACAAACTTCTCAGACCAGACCCTCCTTAGATCTCACAAATTGGTTTCCTAATCTGGTCTACTTCAAAGGGCTGACACCTTCTCATGAAGCATCAACTGCCAGCAAGAAAATCAAACCCAAATCACTCTTACTAACTTAGGGTGAGTTGATACTGAGCAAGTGTAAACAAGCTTAGTCATCTGTCAACTTGTTGAAATAGGCTATTTCTGAACATGGGTTCAATGTTCAAAAGAATGTTAAACTCATGTCCAAAAAATAGGTTGACAGGTTCAAAGCAGCATAAAGGAACACAGAATCAATTGGAAAACTCTCCCTACAACTTCACCTTGTGCCTTTCATCTGCCTCTGACCAGCCAGAAATGTAGACATGGGGTACTGTCAAGTTTTCTTGACAAGCTAATTGGAAATAGGCACCACAGGCGTTCATGCAGACAAAAGCTTCTGACAGATAGAATTTGTAGAAAATCTAATGAAGCCATTACATATGAAAGAATTGTAGTGACTGCTACAACCACCTGTCTGCAAACATTTCTGCCCACCCAGTATATTCAGGCAGAGTGAGTGTATTCCAGGTCCCCTCAATTAAATGTTGCCATCTTGTGGGACTGAGGAAGCATGTTTTCTCTGTGTCCAGCCCACTGAAATAGCATCTCCCCATAGATAGAGAGGTTGCAAAAGCCACAGCTGCAATCCCTGTCATGTTTTCAGACACTTTTCTACAGATAGTCCTTGACTTACAACTAGACATTTAACAACTGTTCAAAATTACAAGACTTTTAAAAAGCTACTTACAAACAAGTCCTTGAAGTTATGACTGCCACACCCCTCCCATAGTCATGTAATTGAATTTCAAGTGCTTAGCAACAGGCTCACATTTAGGACTATTTGCAACATCATGTAATCACATGACTGTAATTTGCAATGTTTTTTGCCAGTTTTAGCAAAAAAAATGTCTATTCAGAAAAATGGATTTGCATAACAAATAAGTGATTGTACATGTTTACAGTTGTAAAATCAAGTTGATCACATAACACAGAGGTATCAAACTTGAGGCCCTCAGGCCAGATACATCACGTTTTGACCACACCCACACCCAGTTTAGCGAAGGGGGGAAAATTTGCAATACGTCACATGATGACATGTCAGCTCAAGTTTGACACCCCTGACATAACACCTCAATTTATAACCCCAACAACTTACAACTAAAAGTCCTATCTTCATTGTGGTCATAACTCAAGGACTATGTGTACTGTTGTCTTTTTTCCAAATTTGTAGGCTGAAGCAATAGAAAATTCACCTGTTAAGGAGAATCACTTTCAATTAAGCAGAGAACATGTGTGACTTTTGTACACAGCAAAACTATGTGACATGGCTCACATTATTCCAAAATAATCCATTTTTATTTAATTTTCATTTCAAAAAAAATTGGGTATCAAGATAGAAAGACTATCGAAACATCAAGTCCTAATGCAAATAGTCCTGAAGAAAAATGGTTCTTCTATTGTGTAAACTATACTTATATTTGACAATGTGCATTAGAAATACAAAAGTTATTCCAACCTTTTTTAAAAAGAAATCTCTCAACTTGGAATAGGAATGGAATGAAGCAGAGTTAATTAATGGAAAACTTAAAAACCAAGCAAAGTCAGAGTTGACGTACCTAATGTATAGTTGTACCTAACAGATATTTCTGAAAAGTAAAATACTTGGTTTATCAATTTAAAAATCAAAGGAAACTATTGCTAATGGAAGAGAGGGTACATGATCTTATAAGCACAGTAGCTGACGTTGACTGACACTGTGTTTGAACTACATGACAGAGAATTTATAAGTCAAAAGTATACATGTATTGTTCTCAAGACAAACCTAAAAGTCAGAGTCAAGCCACAGTACAGACAGAATATGGTGAAACAAATTAGCTCCAGATAGACAAAGGAATGAGACAAAGCTGTATGTTCTCCCCTTATCTATTCAACCTATATGTTGAAAATACATTAAAAGAAGCTGGATTGGAAGAAGATGAGTGTGGTTTTAAAACTGAAGGAAGAAACATAAATAATTTGTACTATGCTTATGATAATAATGCTGAAAATGCAAAAGAACTACAAGGCCTACTAATAAAAGTCAAGGAGCATAGTGAAAAAATAAGATTAAAATTTTAAAAAATCAAACAAATGACAATAAGTACAACAACCACCCTTAAAATTGATATTTCCTTGATTAAGATATTGAAATGGTAGACAGCTTCTGCATTTTAGGATCAATAATTAACAGTAAAAGAACAAGCAGTCAAGAAATATATTGCAAACTAGCAGTTGGCATGGAGGCCATAAAGAAAATTGGAAAAGTGGTTCAGACAGCTTGATGTGTTTCTACCTACAAATATCAAAATAGTGCAAATAGTGGTATTCCCCAATCTATGGAAATGAACATTGGACGTTATAGAAGCAGGTTAAGGTTAAACAGTTTAAAAACATTTTTGAACTTTTAGTTTTGTAGAAGACTCCTGAGAATATTGTGGCTAGTCAAGAAATCAAACAAATTGTTCATCAAATAAATCAACCCACTTGAATCACAAATAAGCAATCTCAAATAATCTCACTTCAGACACATTATGCAAAGACCTAGTTCTGAAGCTCTGATCCTGGAAAAGGTGGGAGGAAGGAAAGAGGACAATCAGTAACAAGATAGACTCAGTTACAGTGA